GCATATCTGAGTAACCTGAACAGTCTAAAACAAGGCTATATTAAAAATGAAAAAAAGTCAAACTTAGTCTTATAAAGCAGTACATTATTGGGCTCAAGACCATTACAGAAGCTTCAGAAGAAGACAATAGATGGCACAGAAAATTCAACAAAATGAAAGCAGAATAAATTGGTTTAAACAAAATACCGTGTTGAGAACTAACCAATGTTTGTTTTATAGCCAAGAAAAATATAAAGCAGCTACAAATTCTGATTTAAAAAAAAGTTGAATATTGAAAAAAAATGTGTGGACAAAGAATGGAATTAAAAAAGCACAATGGGTCAATAAAGTTGAGAAAGACTTTGATGGACAGTAAATCGAAGAGGGGGAAAAACAACAGAAATGGTTCAAATGCAAGTCAGAAAGATTAAAAACTGTAGTGCCCTGAGAAAAAATGAACTACATGGCTTTTGGCTCAAATGATCATGATTCTGATTATGCCTAGAATGAGGCCTACCAGGATTTCAGGCTTTGCCTCACTCTGTCCTGCTTTCTGGCCTGATCTAACTTGTGGGAAGGAAAGAAGGAAAAAAAAATGTTCCATAGAACTTGGATTGGAACTCAGGTATACTAGGGCCTGTAGAAGAATGTGAAGTGACTTTCTCGGTCTTCTGGCAGAACTGAAAGATGTTAACCTCTGATGAGATTAATCTTTCAAAGTTCAGAAAATAAAATGTATATCTGGGGGGTAATGGATTGACAGCCAGCTAATGTTCTGCCACAACTCCAGGTCAGGGAAGGAGCTATTTTTTAAAAAAACAACAAACTCCATGCACTTACTATCCATACTGTATGGATTACAGGGGCATACACGACAGCAGGCATGAAGAAAAGATGAAACTATACCCAAGAATGGAGTAAAGGCCAAGAGCAGAAATTCCATCCTTTGAGTGTTCTATACATAGAGGGTGACTGTGTGCAGCAAAGCTCCTTAGAACCTCAATTTTACATGGCTCTAAATTAGAGGAACCCCCTACATGAATTCAAAAGGATTTCAAGAACAGAAAGATGACCAAGGGGAAGTAAAGCTGGCATGCCAGTTGTTACTCCATTCCTCCCATACTTGGAAGAATAACGTCCAAAGACGTGGCAACACAGTCTGCACACACAAGAACCCGTATGATGTGGTAACTAGGATGTTGCATCTTGGACTAAGAGAGCCCCTGCTTAAATCCCCAGTTATGAAGCTCATTGGGCAACTATGGGCCACTCAGAATCTCTCAGCCTCACAGGCTTGTTGTGAAGATAAATGAGACAGTACATATCCTGCAACCACGAGCACTGATAGTGATGTATCGGCAGCTGAATAATACTGGTTAACTCATGAAAGGTCTAATTTAAAAATGCTTCCCTCATTCTGTATATACATGAAAATATCTTAATATAGGATGGAAAAAAGAAACTTAAAACTACATGTGTGATGTGATTTTATATTCAAATTTGTGGAAAGGAAATAAAGGACTTTAATGTAGTGCCTGAAAATGCTAAATGTTTCTATTTGTGGGCTTTATTTTATTTATTTGCTTTTAAGATTTTATGTTCCCATCACTTGCTTTTCCACTGATTGCTTGAAATTTTTCTGGAATTAAAGATTTGCCACAGGGACTGATCTGTCTTCTGTTCCAACAAACACAGTATTCTGTACTATGCCACATGCTTGCTGTTGCTGCTGTTGTAATATCAGAGCCTAGCAAGGCGCAGGAAAGAGCTTGGTGTGTGTGTGTGTGGAGGGGGAGCAATCAAATACAAACTGTACCCATCCCTTAGAGTTTGGATTAGATCCTCAGCCATGCACAGCAATCAGGATACAGAGAGTTATTAGAATCTACTCCTTAAAGTGAACAGTTTGGTCTAGATTTTTTGACAAGACAGAAAACTGGAACATTTGTGTGTAGTCTGTCTAGGTAAATATTTGTTGCACACAATACTGGCAACCACAGAATCAAACACCTACTATATTCCAAATATCCCATTCAGGTGTTTCAAGTAGAATTAAAGTCCATATGTAGTCAACCCCAAGTAGTCTCACTCCTGATAACGTTCCACTCACCCCTCATTCCCCACCCTATATCTAGCACAGAGTTTTATAGGCTTGTAGGTACAGAAACTCTCTCCCTATAGACATTCATGCTGTGCTAACAGCCATCTAGAAAATGTTTCTCTCATGCAGGCAATGGAGGGAGGGGAGGAGTTGAGCTGCTTATATGGAGAATTTAACATCTTGTTATACTTTATGTAAAATGGTACATGATCAAATGGTTTTGTGATATAATGGTGGAAATAGATCCACAATCTTTCAACTGTTTTTGTGTTTCGGTCTGAATCTATTCAACTACTGGCAAATGGCACAGACTTTAAAGTACACAGGCAAGGATTTAAAAAGAAAAAAACATTTATTTCTGTGCATATGCTGAAAACACTCCTGTCTTCCAATCTTTCACAAAGTCCTACTGCTCAGTAGATGTTAGCAGAAGCCTACCTTGGGAATTACTAGGAAGTGTTCATTTCTCAGGCTTTGCAACCCTAGATATGTTACATAGACTTTGTGCTAAATATGGTTTGTGCTTGTATCTGCATTTATTGACCACTGTCAAAATATGATTAGGGCTTGCTTCCAAGAGGCTGCTGAAGTCTTGTTATCACCTCATTCACTTGCCAGAACAAGGTGGGTCATCAAATACACGGAGTCCTTTCCTTTGTGTAATCCATCATCTTACAGGCAACAGACCTGAGCACTGGTTTGCTATACAAAATTTACAAAACAAAGCAAGACAGGTGCACTGTTTCTTGCTCTTGTGCAAGGTTTTGATACATGGTGTTGGGCTACCTTATTAAAACACATACTACTTCAGGACACTACAGTTGCTGCCTAAAGACCTTACTTATGCCAATGCATGAATAAAGAGGAGGGAGATCTGGAATCTGTATCATAAATACACCAAACTAATGAGATACTGTGTTATGACACATGAATACCAAACATTAAGGCTTGCTGCCCAAATACACTGGAAGTAGATGAGGAAAAGGAAACACTTCTGTCCCTGAAGACATCAAAGGAAGTGTTTCTCATCATAACGTATCATGGCTCCCTGTTTTTCAAGGGAACAAGGTCTTCCTAGTAATGGTTGTATTGTATTTCCATGAAATGTTCGTGCTAGAGAGGCTGGTAATTTCCCATCCCTGCTTATGCATTTATTTATTTATTAGTTTTTTTAATATTTCAGACACTCAGCAACTTTAAGATGTGTGGACTTCAACTCCCAGAATTCCCCAGCCAGTATGCTGGGGAGGAAGTCCATACATCTTAAAGTTGCTGAGATTGAGAAACACTGGTTTACACAAATAAACACATCCACATTACAGCAGTAAAAACTAAATACCATAAAAACATGATCTTTAATTTGAAATTAAAATGGGCTCCCCAATAAGAATTAACGATCTGATGGCACTGTGTTATTTAATTCATTATCTGTTAGTTTAATTTAATTAATTAAAAGCACTTCAGAAGAACTCCATTTTGACCAGCTTCTGAAAAACCAGCAGCTTCCATCTCCCCTGACAGATTATTCAGCAAAAAGAGGGAGGAAAGGAGGAAGCAAAGGAAAGTATCTTAGCCTCAGCCCCCTCTTCTTTTAGAGGCAACTTTGGTCCCCATTTTATTATCTCAGATGAAAAATAAACAAAGTGTCATTATGATGGCAGTGAACAGAAGCTGTTTCCTTTGCAAAACACTATTCTGGTTGTGCTTGGCACCATGAACAAAATTAAGCCACCCATTTCTTTCGATCTTTTAAAACTCTTATTAGAAGCAAGGAAAGGTGGCCTGATTTTACAAAATGAGTCAATACAGAGTCAAAAGGCCAAGGGAACTGCTCCACATGGCAGGCTCCTAGAAAGGGCACTGCAAAGAGACCTTACCCCTTCCTGGGAAGCGGGAGCCACTGTAGTAGACCAGTAATAAATGACTGGAATTGAACTGTGCCCTCCTCCTCTGGTGCAGATTTGCATTTACAGAATAAATGCCTGTGCCTGAAATGTTTCACAATCCCAGAAGAAAGGGGTGGGGGGGTGGGAGGGAGGTGCAGGAAGAAAAGCTTTCATGTGTAATGCAGTCTGTATCTTTGAGCCAATCCTGGAAGAATAACTCTCACCTCCTCCCCACCAATAGCAACACCTCCCTTCTTTTTCTTTCTCTCTCCCACACACCTGCCTCATTCCTAAGGCTTGGGGGCTGATCCACCTAGCCTTTGTGTCCCCCTCAGCTGGGAGCCCAGATTCCTTTCGATCACGGCCCAAACAAAGATAAAGAAGGGGTCGAAGACCTCCAAACAAGCCCACATGGAGGGAAAGGGGCAATTTTGGGTAGAGGAAGAAGAGACCAAACTCAGCTGGAAAGGGGAGGGGAAGGAAAGGGTTGCATTCTCTCCCCCAGCATCTCTTTCTGACTTCTCCGAACAATGAATCTCCCACCACCCCCTCATTCCTCTGAGAGCAATTTGTGCCCTATCGCGCTGCCTTGTCTTAATCAAGTGGGCCTTTTGTGAGTGACACTAGGAGGCCCAAGAGATAGCCCCGCTCCAGGTCCCCTCCATCTAGAGCAAAGTGCAGGCGGAGTTGGCCACTTAGGGACCAGCAGCCGGGGGCGAGGGAGGGGGTCTTACAGTTTCTCCAGGATCTCTCCAAAGACTCCGCTTTGCACTGGAGGGTGTGTTGACTGCGAGACTTCCCCTTGGAAGGGGGGATCCTAAGTAAGCAGGCTGCAAAAAAAAAAAAAAAAGCGCGCGGGGGAGACTCTGGTCTCTCGGCTGGCGAGGTAGAGCAAGGGGAGGGAAAGGAGCTTGACGGAACGAGAGTATTCTGTGCGTGAGAGAGAGTGTAGCTGTGTGTGCATGCCTCTGCGGGAGGGAGGCAGGCAGGGAGGGAGGGGGGAAGGGGACTGTGGATGAAGAAAGGATTTCTCTCTCTCAGAGCTCAGTTAATCCTGCTGTCAGTTGGTGCTAAGGGAGCAACCGAAGCATTGGATTCCCAGAGAAAGAGTCGCACAGCAGTATAGAAGAGAAAAGAGGGAACCAAACAGGGGAAAAAAGAGGAAGAAGAAAAGGAGAAGGAAGGAAGGAAGAAGGAAGGAAGAAGGAAGGAAGGAACCAAAAGGGGGGAAATACCAAATCTATGCTTGGACCTGGGCTTCTCTCTCGCCAATGCAAAAGGGAATATGCAGCACATTTTTGCCTTCTTCTGCACCAGTTTCCTAGGGGCAGCGTTGGGGGTCAATTTCCCCAGCAACATCCAGATCGGTGAGTGTGAAAAACGGTTGCATCTTCCCGTGGGGAATCGATGTTCCTGCGTGTGTACGAGAATGGGAGGGAGAGCGAGATCTAATCCATCCCTCGACTTCACTCACGAAGGGGCCTCTGCGTGGGGTGGATTACGACCGCGTTCATAGGATGGGTGGGGGAAACCCCTACCTTGGACTTCGTGGGGGAGCGGGAGGGTGCCTGCCCTCTAAGTGCTTCTGAAAGCACCCTCTTTTTATTCTCTCTCTCTCTCCTGCTTGTGGGAATCGGTATTTCAGGAGTCGGGTGCAGACCACTTCGCAATCTCTTCCCCCGCTCCGGGGGCGGCGGAGGTTTTTCCAGGTCCGTAGAGGGGGCGACACCTGACGGACGTCTCAGTTTTGCTTTGCTCTTTGTTGTTGCTGCTAAACAAAAGCAGAGCAACGTCGTCAGGAAGCTGTTGCAGGGACCTGCAGTCGCTTTCCCTCGCCCTCCCGCCCGAGACCTCGTCCCCGTCCCCGTCCCTGTCCCTGTCCCTGTCCCTCCCCGGACAGAATCCGGCGCCTGGCTCGCTCCTCTGCCTAGCGCCTGCCCCAGCGCTTTTATTGCAGTTTTTCATCCCCGTGCTGGGGCCCTCCGCGCCTCCCACGTTGCTTCCGTGTCTCGCTAGGAAACAAAAGGTGAAGCTAAAAAATGAGCAGGCTTCCTTGGCAACAGCGCCGAAGTGGGCTTCTGATTGATGTATTTATTTCGTCGGGTGCACAATCCGGTTTTTGCACGCTGCTGAACCTGTCCAGGCAGCCTCTCTGCGATCCCCTCCCTCCTCCCCGCCCCTAGCGGACTGCACTTGATGCTTTCGACTTCTAGCTTCAATTCCACTGCAGTTCCCGCTACTGGTTGCCGTTTTTCGGTCGTTTGGTTTTATTTTAGCCAGCCATTCAGGCTGGGCCACCTAACGGACTGGAGTCTAAGAGATTACGAAACAGTGCATTCCCAAAGCCAACTGCCCGAAGGGAAACATTTGTGATAATGAAGTGATTGCTTGGACCCTTTGGGACACCTAATAATTGTTTACAGACCGATTCTCTGTTTCTGTGAGCAGGAATTGAGTCATTAGCAGGCCTCGGGATCAGGGGCTGGGTGGTCTTCCTGTGACTTCCTCAGGACAAGTAACACCCCTTACGATAGAGGGCATCTCTGAGAGCATGGCTTAACTGTGGGTCACATTAACTTGGCCGTTCCCTCCTCCCATGCTGTCCAAAAACAGGAGTTGCTCAAATAATGGCGAGATTTGTCCTTTGTTTATTCTTTTAGTTCAGCAACAACCTGTTGAAGAAACATCTGCTCAGCGTGGGCAAATCCAGTTCCTGCTTGGTTGAGAGGAAGGGAGTTGGCCATCTATTGCCACAAAAAGGCTCAGTTTTAACATTAAGAGTATTGCTAAGCCCTGGTTTTCTGCAGCCTCGATCTTCATTTTTAACCCTGATTGGGAACTCCTATCTTTTGGGTTATGTAATGATTGGATAAAATGGAATACTGGAAGCTCCTACCAAAATTCTGCTGTTCATCTTTAAGACTTTCTGAGGTGGATCTGGGCTTAATAACATTTAAGAAGGACCTTTTGAAATTGATGAGATGTAGGTTAGTTATGCCTAATTAAAACTCCTCCCTCCAGGTTTTGGTGGCTGTACTCCATTATTTTTATTTATTTATTTGTTCTTTAGCTACAAGAGGCTAACATGGCTTCCTTTCTGTCAAAGTGTTTGGAGAAATTTTGGTCACTGTCTTTTGGTTCCCATTTGGTCACTGTGCAGTCATAAAATACCTTTGTCACTTAAAGTTCGATTTCTGACTTATTTTCCATCTTTTTTTCTCTCCCTTTTTTGTCTTAGGGGGATTATTTCCTACTCAACAATCCCAGGAACATGCAGCCTTTATGTTTGCATTATCTCAGTTCACAGAGCCCCCCAAGCTGGCTCCACAGATTGATATTGTGAATATTAGTGACAGCTTTGAAATGACCTACACCTGTAAGTAAAGGCTAGCTATTGGCCGACTTTCTGCTCTCTCTCGACATCTTTCTCACCTGTCTGCTTATCTTTAAAACTATCTAGCAAGGATTTTTTTTTTTAGTGAGAGGTCCTTTTTCCCTCCACTTTTTGAAAATAATTTGGAAGATAATGCACTTTTTTTTCTTACAGCAGGTTTTCATCAGTACTCCCTTGCTTAAAACAATGTAATTTATGGTTATTGATTTGTAAATGTCTAAATGTGTGAAAGAGAATGACAAAAACAAAAAACAAAAAGCGAAATTGTTTAAGTATTATTTATAACTGTACCTTAGTCATACAACATTAAAAAAAAATACCCAACACTCACCTAAGTTTAGGCTGAAGAACATAAAAGGTTCGATGTAAAGCACTCACCCACCAATGAAAGTGTGTTGGTAGGTCTGAGCTCAAGCAGACATTCTTAGGCTTTGGTCCTGCACAGTATTCTGAGAATAAAAATGGACTATTAAAGCCTTTTATTTATTTTTAAAAAATCAGTACAGGGAAAAGGTTTTGCACTGAATCAGTAAGATGGAAGTCAGTGTTATATTTATATATAAATATTTATATATAAATAATATATAAGCTGGCTGGGTGACTTTGGGCTAGTCACTCTCTCTCAGTCCAACTCACCACACAGGGTGGTTGTTGTGGGGAAAATAGGAGGAGAAAGGAGTATTAGGCATGTTCACCGCCTTGAGTTATTTATAAAAATAATAAAGGCGGGGTAA